GTTGTTTCCCTATCCTTCCTAAATGTCCAGTATTCGTATTCTTGGGATGAACACACAAGGGTGTGTGCCTCTCCTATAGACAGCATTCACACCAGGATGTCTAGGATCGGAGCTACACCAAGTAGTAGGGGGCAGCACGGGTTGGCAAAGGGAGCAATTGTTGTGAATATGCCCTCAGTGTCTCTATCTGCTGGGCTCCAGTTTTCTGTAAAATACATTCATGCATCTATCACTTAATGATGGGAACATGCTCTGAGAAATGCGCCCTTAGGCAGTTTCATCACGGTATGGACATCACAGAGTAGGATTACGAAAATCCAGATAGCTATGATGTCACTAGGTGGTACACTCTCATGGGACCACCACATGTACAGTTAGTTCAGCACGAATGGTAATATGTGGAGCACGACTGGCGTGACATTCCAGCTCAGCCCACCTCAGAGCTCCCTACTCTACTGTAGAGTATGTTAGCTTTTGGGATGAAGTCACAGAATGTTTGTCTTACTTTCCTCCCGTGCTGAGATGGGGAGGTCCTTTCTGATACAGGGACTGTCTGTCCTAGGTGGAAGAGGGCTACTCCTTGCATCTTCCCTGAAGTGAATTCCAGCCCCTGTCCTTGACACATCCTGTCCTATTCCCTCCCACCTGAAGCCTCTTCTCTTCACAGATGCTCTGAAACTGCTCCTACAAGGCTCTGGGGCAGAGGCACACACAGCTGCCAGACCTAGGAGATCCTTCTATGCCAGCACGTAGACTAGGAGGGCTGCCAAAGCCCACAGGGTTTAACCCAAGTCCGCCTGCAAGGACAGAGACAGTGGCTGGGCCCTAGAGGGGTTCCAAGCCAAAGGAGAAGGGAGAAGCTGGAGCAAGGCAGATTGGCTGTGGTTCCAGAACCTCTAAGTATATAGCACAGTTAGGCTGGAGATGCTTCTGGAAAGACAGTGGGACCAGCAGTGAAGGCCTTTGGATGCCAAGCCAGGAAGCTGGACTTTATCACGAGTTAGGGAAGGTTTTAAGCAGGGAATGTCCTGATCCCAGCCAGTGACTTTTGGGTGACACAGAAGGTAGGAACAACAGACCTGGTCCCTTTTGCCTCAGAGTTTTCTGTGCCCACGCTAACTATGCATGCTTTTCCCACCTGGGTTTCCTCAGCTGTTCCTGGACTCTTACTCAGCTTTGTGCCTATGTAAGTGGTTGGTCACAGCCACTGTGACCTCAAGCCAGGCTGGTACTGGCCAGTCCCCAACATGAGACTTATGGGAGGGCTGGCGAGTGTGGTATTGGGTGTGTACACCATGTAAGCCTGGGCCTTCTCCTGCTTTATTACAGGAATCAGCCTCCTCATCCCCCCAGACGCCATCCCCCGAGGAAAGATCTACGAGATCTACCTCACACTACACAAGCCAGAGGACGTGAGGTGTGGGCTCGGGCCCTGCTGCTGGGGCTGGTAGGGTCCTGCCTGTGGCCTGTCACTGGGTGGCCCCCTTCCCAGTCACTGCCGGGCCTGGCTGGCTTGAGGGAGGGCAGGGGAGGAGCCCACCAACTCTAACCTCTCACCCTGGGGTGACACTGCCCTGGTCCCTGGTCCCTAGGACAGACCACTGACACCTTTCTCTTTCCACCCATGTTTCCCCACTTGAGGTTGCCCCTAGCTGGCTGTCAGACCCTGCTGAGTCCCATCGTTAGCTGTGGACCCCCCGGAGTCCTGCTCACCCGGCCAGTCATCCTTGCCATGGACCATTGCGGGGAGCCCAGCCCTGAAAGCTGGAGCCTGCGTCTCAAAAAACAGTCCTGTGAGGGCAGCTGGGAGGTGAGTAGGGATAGCCCTGAGCCTGCCCACCTGAGCACTAGCCTCAAAGTGGAATGTGGCCTCCTTGCACTCACCCTGGGCTCTCAGCAGCTGTGTGGCCCTGCACGCTGCCCTGACCCTTCCCAGATCTCTGGCTGCATCTCAGAGCAGAGGGTGGCTGGTTTGCTCCCAAGGCTGGTGGAACTCACCATTGGGCTCCACCTGTAGGATGTGCTGCACCTGGGTGAGGAGGCACCCTCCCACCTCTACTACTGCCAGCTGGAGGCCAGTGCCTGCTACGTCTTCACCGAACAGCTGGGACGCTTTGCCCTGGTGGGAGAGGCTCTCAGTGTGGCTGCTGCCAAGCGCCTCAAGCTGCTTCTATTCGCCCCTGTGGCCTGCACCTCCCTCGAGTACAACATCCGTGTCTACTGCCTGCATGATACCCACGATGCACTCAAGGTACCAACGTACCTCCCCCTGTCCCCCCGCCCTAGGCATGGAGGCCCCTTGCCTCAGGGCCAGTAGGGAGAGGTCCTCCTAGGCCGCAGGCTCTGCTGATCACCTGGGGCCCTATAGGAGGTGGTGCAGCTGGAGAAGCAACTGGGTGGACAGCTGATCCAGGAGCCTCGTGTTCTGCACTTCAAGGACAGTTACCACAACCTGCGCCTGTCCATCCATGATGTGCCCAGCTCGCTGTGGAAGAGCAAGCTTCTCGTCAGCTATCAGGTAAGGGTCAACCCCACCACCAGCACCCAAGGAGCTGGAGCTGGGCACACCTGACATCTCCTCTGCTGCCCCCCAGGAGATCCCCTTTTATCACATCTGGAACGGCACACAACAATACCTGCACTGCACCTTCACCTTGGAGCGTGTCAGCCCCAGCACCAGTGACCTGGCCTGCAAGGTGTGGGTGTGGCAGGTTGAGGGCGATGGGCAGAGCTTCAACGTCAACTTCAATATCACCAAGGTGGGCAAGAGGGCTATATATTCTCACCACCAACCAAACCCCCCAGAAATGTTCCACTCCCTGGACCAATTCTGCCCACCCTGCCACCAGCTCCTCTCCCTTCCCCAGACCCCCTCCTCCTAGAAACCACTTGGCACCTCCCTCCAAGTGTACTAGGATGCAAATGGAACTCAGGTAGTGGGACCAAACAGGGTATAGGAGCAGGAGGAGGAGACAGGGCTTCCCTGGGAAACCCCATGGGCCTCCTTGAGGGCTCTGCACTGGTCCCAGAAGGATGAGCAGAACTTGGACAGGCATCAGTGTGGGAAAGGCCATTTGTGGCAGCAGGAACTGAGTGGGGGGGGCACAAAGGTCATGAGAAGAGAGCAGTGAGTGCTGAATGGCAGGCAGGGTGAGGGTGAGGGTGGAAATGGAGAATGAGACCAGAGGGCTCTTCTGCTCACTGGCTGTGATTTTGGGTGGGTCGTGCACTTCTAAACCTCAGGCTCAAAGGGCAGGGCCCTGACACGTGATGGAGGGGGTACCTGGGAAGCCCTGGTGCCTTTGCTATCCCCGGGTCTGGAGTGGTCTGGGAGCTCCCGCAGCAGGAGGCAGCAGTGGCCAGGTTCTCACAGGAACCTCTTCCCTGTCTCCCCCACCTAGGACACAAGGTTTGCTGAGCTGCTGGCTCTGGAGAGTGAAGGGGGGGTCCCAGCCCTGGTGGGCCCCAGTGCCTTCAAGATCCCCTTCCTCATTCGGCAGAAGATCATTACCAGCCTGGATCCACCATGCAGCCGGGGCGCCGACTGGCGGACTCTAGCCCAAAAACTCCACCTAGACAGGTGGGTGGGAAATGGGTGGGTAGGGGCTGCAAAGGTCACCTACAGTCCACCCTAGGCAGGTGGTTTGGCTGGGGTGGATGGGAGACCCTATGGGCTTGTGTCACATCCTCTAGTGTCTGGGTAGTCAGTGCATTTGGAGGAGGGGAGGCCCTGTCCTTGGCGAAGCTGGTAGGAGGAGGTGGTAGGCTGGGGTGAGGCCAGGCCACTGACAAGTTTCCTCCTTTCCACAGCCATCTCAGCTTCTTTGCCTCCAAGCCCAGCCCCACAGCCATGATCCTCAACCTGTGGGAGGCACGACACTTCCCCAATGGCAACCTCAGCCAGCTGGCAGCCGCAGTGGCTGGACTGGGCCAGCCAGATTCTGGCCTCTTCACAGTGTCAGAGGCCGAGTGCTGAGGCCAGCCAGGCCCAAAATGCCTACACTCTCACCAGCTTTGGCACCCACCAGGGACAGGCAGAAGCCAGACAGGGGCCCTACCCCACAGGGGCAGAGCTGCTTGGACAGGCCCCCTCCTGGCCAATGTTGTCCCTTTAATGCTGGTCCTTCAGACCCTGCCTGAACTCCATTTCCTCCATGGCCTACCTAGCCAGGCAAACACAGCCACCTGTTCACACTTGTCCCAGCCCTAGGTCCCTGGGTGGATAATGCCTGGAGCCTGGGCCGGGCCCAGCCCATCTGTGTGTGTATATGTGCGTGTGATGCTACCTCTCCTCCTGCCCCCTGCCAGGGGCCCCGCATACACACGGCATGCATGCACATGCAGGGCTCGGACATGGCCCCAGAGCTCCTGCCTGAGCTGGGCCTTATGCAAACATTTCTGTGCCTGCTGGGGAGGGGCACATCTGAGGGGTGCAGCTCCAGGCCTTCGGGACAGAGGACCCAGCCAGAGAGGGGGCTGGTCCTGGATTCAGGCACACAACCACCACAGAGGCATGTGCCCACGCATGCTTCGTGTGTTCATCCTACACACACCCTAGTCACGCAGACCCACCACCACACACATCTCATGCTGCACACCCAGAGGCCGCTCACGTCTCTCACACCCGGTGTCGGTACACACCTGCCTCTCACATGCTGCCCTCTTCCACCCACCCAGGGACACCTGACGGCTCCTCCCTGATCCTACCCCCCTGTCCCCAGCCTCGAGGTGTCCTGCCTGGCGGGGCGTGTGAATATGCAATGGGAGTCCCGGGCTGTACAATGGCGAGTGTGTGTGCCATGGTGTGCCCAGTCCTGGGGCTGGCCGGTGCCCCAGCGTGGGGCCTGTCGTGTGAAGCTTGTGTCCTGACTCTGTCTTAAGTGCTTTCAAGCACTTACACTTGGCCTTATGTACACAGCCTTGCCCGGCCGCCGGGGCACATAGGGATTTTAGCGGACGTGAATGTAAATAAATTATATATATATATTGCTAACCCATGTGCTACTTTGCTTGGGGAAAGCCAAGGGGGTAAGGATAGATGGCCACAGAGGGGTCACACACAGTCTGTTCTGGGAGTCCTGAGTGGCTGAGTCTGGCTGATAGGGTGGGTCCAGCTTTCATCCAGCAAGGTGGTTCCTGGAGATTTCCTCAGACATGGGCCATCTGAGCAAGGCGACAGGCGACAGCAGTGACCAAAGCTGCACCTTTGCCAGACCCATCTTCTGACTGCAAGAAGGTGACCATACAGCGAGGGGCCAGTTCCCGTACTGTGGCAGCTACAAGACTGGCAAAGCTGTGAGGGGAGAGGCTAAGGTTAGCCCAGGCCACCAAAGATCTACCTGGCCCCACCCGGCCATACTGCCCAGCTTGGCCCCTTTATCCAGACTCACTGAGGGTGCACCTTGTAGAGGGTCCCATCCACCCCCACAGACACTGTCAGCTCCTCCAGGCCTCTGTTCTCCCGGATCTTCTCCACAACAGCAGCCACACCTGCCCCGCAGAGTTGGGCAGCCCTCCGGGACACAGCCTGGCACACCTCTAGGACTATCAGGGCATCGTCCGAGGTCAAAGGCAGCCCTAGGTCCTCCAGGATGGCTCGGACCTGTCGCAGGGCCAAGCTGTCACTGGGAGCCAGGAAGGAACAGAACAAACACAGAAAGGCATGGTCCTGTATTAGCTCCCCCAACACCTCATCTTCAAGACTCCTCCCACTTCATCCTCCAAGTTGGCCTACACACACCAGCAGCCAGTGTTCACCCAGTGGACAGACAACTTTGGGAGGTGGGGAGGCAATTCAAGCCTCAGGTACCTTTCAATCTCAGAGAGAAACTTGGTCTTAAAGATGTCCCTAGTCTGAAGGCGCTGGGTCTGCTGGCCCTGGAAGAGAACTCCAAGGCTGGTCAAATGCAAGAGGATGTGGCGGACAATCTCTCCCAAGTACATGCCACTGATCATCTTCTCAAACCTACAAGAGCATGTATGTGTTTTCCTGGAGCGGAAGACTCCACCAGCTACCATCAGTGGTGTTAGCCACTGCCCGCCAGCCCTGCCCAGGCCCAGGCCACACCTCTGCTTGCCAGGATTGATGGACACCTGGTCCACCCTCACATCAAAACAGGTGCTGAGCATGCCCAAAGAGCCATCATCCCCAAAGGCACCCCACTCCATGTTGATGCACATGTGGCCTGAGTCCCCAGCCACACCTGCCACATTCTGGAGCTCTTCCATATAGCAGGCATTGGTGCCAGTTCCTGCAGAGGCCAGACGAAGTGGATTTATTTACTGATACAGACAAAGCCTCCCTGAGCACTTGCCACACCAAAATGATAAAATTTAGCATCCCTACTTCTTCCTGCATTTAAAACCTGTCCTTGGTCCTGTTCATCCCCTTTTCCCAAAGTCCCTAGTGCAGATTCTGCTAGCACCATGGCCTTGGGGCCTCTATGATTTCCCCTACCAGCACCACCACCAGGGCATCTACCTTGCTACCCTAAAGTGCTCCCACAATACCCATCAGATATGTCATTTCCCTGGGAGATGTGTGACAGCCCTACTATCTATCTGTTGGTAAAAAGCCAAAGCTCTCTAGATTGACCTTTTAGGCCTTTAGTCAAACTAATTGCTAGTGGATCAGTTGCTGGGGACATAGAAATCCAATACAAGGAAACCCAATCTGGCCAAAGTTGGTCAATGAACGGTCAACTCTGATAGTGTGTCTATGAGCCCTAATAGAACCCAAAGGACAGCATCATGGGAGCCCTGGAGCACAAAGTGGGTCTTCCTGCCTACAAGTTGAAAAGCTATAGACAAGAAGTGAAACTGGGGTTGGGCTTTGAAGCCAAGAGGTACAAAGAGAAGAAAGAGGAATTTCAGGCAGGAGGCACAGCCTGGATAAAGGTATTGCCTCCCTCTGCCTATACATATCCAGCTTTGGGCAGGTGAACTCCTTGCTGGCCCACCTAAATTCCTCTGTTGAGTAGTTTATTCACACAGCAACATGGATATGCCTTTCTCAAGCACCTACCCATGCCAGGCTCTGTGTTCAAGAAGTCCCCATCCATCCATGGGAGGCTACCATGCACCTTCTCCTCTAAGAGACCAGCGCACAAGAAACCTCAAAGTCCTCTTTCAATACCTAGCCAAATCCTTTCTTCAAAGTTTTCCTTTCAAACCCTACTTTCTTGGGACCTGTTCCTTTCTGATTTTGACCTTGTTCCCACGTTTGTGGAGTCAGCCGGCTCTTTCTGACTACCATGTGTTATTCTGGGCTCAAACTGCTGGATTGTCAGTTCTGAGAAGACAGATTTCCCCTTCTTTCATATGTTTTCCTGTCCCTTTGTCCACCTACCAGCCACAGGGCAAGTACTTAAGAAAGACTTAGAATCTTGGACTTGAAGGATTGTCTTAGCTCAGCACTCCCCTACACTCACCCCAGTTTCAAACACTGAGTGTGAACCATGAGCCAGGCACTATGTCATACTGCCCCTTCTCACTTCATCTTCACAGTGCCTTGAGATAGGCACTGTTATTATACACATCTTAAGATGAGGAAACTTAGGCTCTAGTGACTTGCCCAAGGTCATACAGGTAGAAGTAGCAAAGCTAGTATTTTCACCCAAATCCATATGATTTCAAAGCAGATTCATTTGCTAGATGGGCAAACTCAGGAAGATTCAGTGACTATTAATCTGTATCTGAGTTGGTTTAAAGAGTCCAGTCCCAGATTCCCAGGCCAACTTAATGTTCCAGGCTCATAAGAATAATCCCACATCACCAAGGCCAATGGAACATCCAACCTGAGGAATCAAGAGGAGGCAGCAAATTATCAGGAAGTAGGTCATGAAAGGGCAGGGCCCTCCTCACCAACAATGAGGCCCATCTCGCAACGGGGATCTTCATAGCCACAGGACATCATGGTTCCCACTGTGTCATTGACAATGGCAACCACATTCAGCTCCACTGCCTGCACACAAAAGGATGCTGCTAGTTGCTGGGCAACAGCAGTTGTCACAGCAACCAGCACTGGACCCAGAGGTCTCTATTGCAGAGGGCCACCCTTTCAGGAAGCAGAAGACCCTTTGGTCCCCTCAAGACCAGCCATAGCCCCAAAGCATCCCTGGAGGCAGGCTCCTACCTGTTTACGCTTGATGGCTTCCCGCAAGAGATAGACAACATCTTGGCCCTCACAGCCTGATGCATTGAAACCCTTAGTCCAGTTCAGGAGGATGCCCTGGATGGGACCAAGAAGGGACAGAAAGCTGGGTGATCCCTTCAAATCTCACTCTGCCTCCCCAAAGCCCATATCCTACCAGAAGCATATGATTTCCACCCTCCCAAGCAGGACTCCTTGCCCACTTTGCCCTACAGTCAAATGCCTTGCCTCCTACCCCCTCCTAATTCCCCAGGAGGGTTTCAATGTGAAGCAATCTATTAATAATGATTCAACCTTCGCCTTCCATTGTTAGTTTCAGGATGCTCAGACGGTCTGAGGTTCTGGCCATTTCAAGACATTTGCCCAGAAGGAATGGCCCTTCTTGATTGGGTTAGGAATGAACAGACCTGGCAAAGTGAGTGTTGTGTGTAAGAAAGAGGAGAATAAAGAAAGCTCAAGGCCCAAATGCCAGCAGAACCCACCCCTTCTGAGAGAAATTGCAGGAATCACTTGAAGAAGTTGGTAATGGAGCTGTACCAATACAAAATTCACTCCTTTGTTGGGTGAAGGACAAATGGCAAAGCCAGACACCTGTTCAAGCTGGGCAGCAGCAAGACAGACATAGTTCTATTATGAGCAATTGGACTTAGATTAGTAACATGGGGCTTGACTGTGCCTGAAAAGGATTTTCCCTTTCTCAGTGTGCTTTTCTGAGAAGGCAGGAAGAATGGGAATGAGACTATAGCTGTCAGGGGAAATGACTACTCTGTCCAAGGCAGAAGCACCAGGAGCAGGTCTGAAAATCTTTGAAGCAGCTTTTTACCCGAGTACTGAGGGTTGAACTGAGGGCCTTTGCACCGAGCTACATTCCCAGATCTCTTTTTATTATTATTTTTTTAAATTTTGAGATAGATCTTGCTGAATTACTGTTACCCAGGCTGGGCTCAAGCTTGCAGTCCAACTGCCTCAGTCTTCCAGAGTACTAGGATTATAGGTGTGCACCACCACTTCTGGCTGTTTTTGTTTTGTTTCACTGCATTGCCCATGTTGGCCTCAAATTCCTAGGCTCTAGCAGTCCTCCTGACTCAGTCTCCAAGGGGACTACAGGTGTGTGCCACCATGACCAGCTAGGCAAGGAGATTCAAAAAATACTAACAAACATTTTCTCCTAGCAAGATTTTTTATACTTTTCCCATTTTATAGTAGCTAGGGTGTTCTACCGTCATGATCTCAAAAACAAAAATGGGGGTGTGCAGAATGGAAACCAAACCCAGACTGAAGTTTTTAATGGCTTCCTGAGAAAGGTATCCTATGCCCTCCTCCTTCCTGGGCTAAACGCCTCTGGAGGTGGGGGTGAAGAGGGAGACAGAAGGGATCTGAGCAATCGGAGAGCAAAGGAGGCCACTTCTCTCCTTCCACAGGTAAATCCCAGGGAGGTATTAAGATTGGAGATGAACTGGCAGAGGAGGGCACCCGAGAACCAGGGCCTGGGCATGTTCCATATTTGCTCCTTTGCATAAAAAGGGTGTTGTGGAGCTGAGTTCCTACCTAGGAAAGGGGTACCCTACACCAATTAACATTGAACATTTCCCCAGGGCTGGAGATTTGGCTCAGGGACACCATACCTGCCTCACACAAGCACAAGGTCCTGAGTTCAATCTCCAGTACCAAAATAAATAAATAAATAAATAAACCTTTTCCCCTGAAAAGAATGGGTACTCTCCAAGTGCAGTGGCTCTTACAATCCCAACACTCTGGGAGGCTGAGGCAGGAGAACTGTAAGTCTGAACACAGCCTGTTACTAAGAGCCTATCTCAAAAATGAAAATATAAGAGGGAAGAAGCAGCTCAGTGCAAAGGCCCTGAGTTCAATCCCCAGTATTGAGGAAGAGGGGAAAAAATGGACTCAAAAGCTGAACACAGGAATTAAATTTACTTATGGACAGTTAATCAGACTGGTTTCTTGCATGCCTGGATGAGCACACTGAGTCAAACTTCCTCTCCCTCTTGCAAAGAATAATGGAAAGGAGCAAGTGTGCTCAGCTGAGAAGACCAGCAGAGGGATAGTGGCAACCATGCCATCTAAAGGACTTTGGTGGAAGGAAAGGGGAAGTGGAATGTTGGGGAGAGGTCAAAATGGAGCAGAGGGTTAAAGCTGCACAGGTAAAGGCTGATGGTAAAGGAGGGAGAGCTTCATTTCCCACAGGTGTCTAAGAATACAACAGACACCTACAAGAGCAGGGTACCCCTCAGCATGGGCAGCCCCTACGTAGAAGCTGGAGATGTTGATTCTGGGAGCTTGGGCCAGAGGCTTGGAAGTACCGTTTCTGTCACAGGCTTCAGGTGTTTGCATTGAGAAAGAAGTCTGTGATACATGTTGAAGAATTTGCTGAGATGTTTAGTGGGTGGGAAAGTTGTGTCTAGATCTGTGCTAGTCACTCTGCCACCCCAACTGGGTACCCAAAACTAAGCAAGGCACTGAGAGGGAAACAAAAACAAAACAAAACAAAACAAAACAGAAAAAAAGAGTGCAGCCCCCCATCCCTTCCAGAGACAGGAATAAATATAGCTTCATACAGGACACCTAAGCCAGACCACCAGTGCCCTAGCTTAAATGCGCAATCTTTCCTCTGATGAGCACTGATCCAAGCCTGTGCTGCTCCCAAATGCCCCAACCCTAACCATGGGCACATGATATCTGGGGAATCTGAGGCCGAGGACAGGCCCAGCCCAGCAATGCTCCCCCACCACCTTCACTCAGACCATTTCCTGCCTTTTGCCCACACCATGAAGGGTATGTGGGTGGGAGCCCCTCAGAGAGATCACTTTTCCTGCCCCTCACCTTACCTTACCTGGTCCAAGCCAAGCTGCTTGCATGGGAAGGAAAAGGTGAAACCCAGGGGGAGGCTCTGACCCCTGAGGCCCTGCTTCTCCTGGAAGTCCATGATGCAATCCACGATGTGGTCAAAAAGCTGCAGATGAGGCAAGTCAGACAGCTGGCCCCATCCTGGCCCTTCCCTACCTCTGATATCAGACCCCAAGCATTGCGCACCTGCTGCCCAGACCCCTGAGCCACACATTCAGGGATGGCATAGACCTGGTTGACGATCCGCACACCTCCCTCAGCCACACGTACCAGGAGGACCCGAAAGTTGGTGCCCCCGAGATCCAAAGCCAGGAAGTCCCCTCGTTCTGTGGGGTAGAGAGCCTCAATGCCAGGACAGAGCCTATAGCTCTAGTTTCAGCACATACTGTAACCCCCAGAACCCGAGTTCAATCCCCAGTATTGAGGAAGGGAAAAAAAAGAATGGGCTCAAAAGCTCAACACAGGAATTAAATTTAGTTATGGACAGTTACTTGGACTGGTTTCTTGCATGCCTGGACCAGCACACTTTGTCACACCTCCTCTCCCTCTTGCAAAGAAAATTGGAAAGGAGCAAGTGTGCTTAGCTGGGAAGACCAGCAGAGGGATATCCCAGTCCCACTAAGGTAGGTCCTCACCACTGCCGTCAGGTGTAGCCCGTACGTATGTGGGCAGCATTCGGAGGGAGGAGGCCTCCCTTCGCAGCCCCTTGGCCATGGCCTCCCGCATCTGTGTCTGCACTGCTGCCAGCTGCTCACGGCTCAACCGGAATGGTGCTAGGGTCTCCTCCAGCAGTCGTCGGTGGGCAGCCAGGCGGGCAGCCACAGCCGTCACCATTGCCACACCCCGGCCACCTCCATCCACAGAAGGGATGAAGGAGACATCACATTCTGAGGCCAAGAGCTTCACTGTCTCCTGTAGGATGCTATAAAACCTACACAGATATACACCAGGTGGACCCGACTTGGCATCTGCCCCCCAGGACTTGATTTAAAGTCCTATCAGTTTAAATCAGTTCAATTCTGAAACTGTTCTTCAAACCAACCATGCATCCCATCCCTGCATGGCCCCTTCCCAGACACACACAAAAAGAAGCTTCTTTTCTCTCCTTAGATGTCTCTTGGCACTGCATAGCCAGTCTGGCCCTTGCTCTGCTTGGCTGCCATTTGAATCCTCTGGCTTGCACATGTGATTGCAAAGTGCCCTCTGAGTGTGTATCACAAACACACATTTATGGATCACATTTTCACAGTACCTGGGGTGCTGTTCAAGCACTCGGCCTCCAGTAGCCACGGCGACCTGGAGTATCTGCTGCTCCCGGCTGCGCTGGAGGCGGGACAGGATGGCGGCCAGGGCAGCAGCACAGAGCTGGGCAGCCCGAGAGCACACCGCTGCACAGACGCGCTGCACAAGCTCAGCATCTGAGGCCTCCGGGCTCAGGCCCAAGTCCTGCAGGATCGCGTGGACACGGGCTGCCCCAGTGGAGGGGCTGGAAGTAGGGGACAGAGTGCTGGTTTGGGGTTCAGGTAGCCCGGTATTTTACCATCCCACCAAAGCCCCATGGCCACCTCAGGGCCAGAGTATCCTCCCTCTTCCCAATCTGAGAATCCTCTCGCTTAAGCTGCGTGCTTCCCCGACTCACTCCTCCATCTCAGCCACATGTTCCAGGAGGATGCTGCCTTGGCTCAGCAAAGCAGAAGAGGTGTAGCCACCAAACAGGACCCTGTGCTCGGCCAAGTGGGCCAGCACCAGCCGCACCAGTTCCCCCAGGTACAAGCCCCCAATCATCTTCTCAAACCTGCAAGTGGAAAGGCTAGCTAAGCCCTGACCTGCCCTGACTCCACTACCAGGAACTCCCAGAGAGGAATTATTTTCTTCAAAATCCCCAGACTAGAGAATCCAGAAGCAGATGGCCTCCCAGGGGACAGGTGGAGGTTTGTCCACCACCACTCTTGACTTTGGCTTAAATTCAGGGGCCTCCTGGAGGGGCAACAGGACCCAGGGAAGGCAGGGTCAGACATTCTCAACCTCCAACCTTTATCAAGAACAAGGGAGGGCTAGAGTTGAAATCTCAAGGTCTTTCTTCTTTGAGTTGGCCAGAGTCTCCCAGAAGGCAGTCTGGAGACCCTCAGAGTGGGTGAGAGGGGCCTGAGTGCAGGGGGAGTAGAGGGATGGGTCAGAGCAACAACAGAGCCTAGAACAGAGTCAGGTTCCTGCCACAAAGCCACCTCTGGGCACCAGGATTCAGGGATGCATGGTCCAGGGCATGGTCAAAGGTAGTCAGCACTGGTCCCAGAGCCCCATCGTCACTGAAGGAGCCCCATTCAACGCTGACACAGGTGCGGCCCCGGTCCTCATCCAGCACTGCCACATGCCGTGCCTCCTCCATGTAACATGCGTTGGTGCCAGTGTCTAGTAGGAACAATGTCCGTCAGGGCCTGCCCATCAGACAGCCATATCCGCATTCTCATCACAAATAGCCTGTGGCTCACCTACAATGAGGCCGACTTCACACGGCCTAACACCTGGCTCACAGCTCATCATCGTGCCCACTGTATCATTCACCACAGCAACCACATCAATGTTGTAGGCCTGGGCGATGGAGAGGGTGGGGGTCAGGGCCAGCATGGGTGGAGAACTGGGTAATGGGCTGGCCTGGGGCTCCAGCTTTGATGGACACCCAGCATTAATGGAACATATATCTGCACACTCTACACATATATCCCGGACCCCCTGAGATGGATGTCCTCCCATCCCACCCCAACTCAGACCCTCAGGATCACAGGGGCTCCCCAATTCAACCATCACCTCCAGTGCTCCTCACAGAAACAGGATGAGGGTCCCAAGACTGCCTCCTTGAAGATTGCTCCTCCCTTGCCTCACCCACATTCTGATCTGGATCCCCAAGCTGGCCCTCCCAGCCTGACTTCTAGCCTCTCAACGGGGCACCCTGAGGTTACTCAAACAGATCTGCCTTTCTCCAGCACCCAGACTTTGGCAGATGCCCTTCTCTGGAACTAGATGTTCCTCTCCAGGCTCGGTTTAAGCACCAGGCAAACTGCCCCTTTAAATCCTGCTCTCCCACCCTTGTGTTGTCAGAGTCATCCAAACACAGCACCAGTCTTTATTAGAATGTATTCTCCCACAAGACTGTGAGGACAGAGCCCTTAAGGACAGGGTCAAAGCCTTTTCATATTCTTCTTTCCCACAGTCCTGAATATTCATTTGAGTCTTCTTAACCTGTTTCTTTGCCTATAAAATGGGAATGGTAGCAACATTTACCCCAGGGTTAAACTGGATAATGACTGAACAGGAGAGAAAAGCGGCACAGGAACAGCCTGTGGAGATCAACCCCAGCCCAGCAAGGGCAGCCTCCCACCACCCCTTACTTCCCCACTTACCCCCTGCCTCTGAATGGCATCTCTTAGTAATTGGACCACATCCTGGCCTTCTACACCACTGCACCTAAAGCCTTTGGTCCAGGAAATGAGGGTGCTCTGGGGGCAAAAAAGTGGGTTACTCCTCCAAAGGCCTTCACAGGGGCTGCATTCCCTCTCCACCTGCTGTCCCAATCCCCGCTCCACCTCACCCTGTCCAGTCCCGTCTGGTGGCAAGGGAAGGAGAAGCTGAACCCAAGCTGCAGTCCCTGATTCCTCACAGAATGTGCATCCAGGAACTCAAACAGGCAGCGAGCAGCAAAGTCGAAGAGCTGTGGGACAATAGGTTACTTAACTCTACCCACCAGGTCTGGCCACTCGGCCTGGCCCCAGGTTTCCAAATCTGGACAGTGAATGCTCACCTGCTGGCCAGTGCCCAGTACCACCTCCTGGGGAATCACAAACTCCTGGCTCTTGGGCTCCACCCTCTGCCCCTTGATGCCGGTCAGAGTCACCCACAAGACACGCAGTGATGCTCCTGAAGCCCCCAGCTCCAGCACCACAAAGTTTCCTTGCTCTAGGGACAAGCAGGTCATAGAAAGGTATGTAGCTGGCATGCAGAATCTAGTTAAAGGGACCTCAAGAGATGGGGACAATGGTAAGATCAGTTCTCTTTTCCAAGCCTCATCTCCATCTTATTCTGTGCCACCCACCATTGCCATGTGGGGTAGAATCCACATATGTAGGCAGCATCTGGACACCAGGGGCAGAGCTGGCCTTTCCTGTCAGGGCCTGCTCCATGGAGTCCAGGAGGCTGGCTTGGATATGCTGTAGCTGTGTCCTTGTCACCTTGAACCGCTGCAAGCACTCCTGTACCTGGGGAAAAACAAGCCAATATCTGGAAGGGAGCCTATGGACCAGTCATAACCCCCAACTCCAACTACAGCAGAGGCCTGCCATACCCAGCTCACATCCTGCCTCCTAGATCCTCACCTTCCCCTGGGCCTGGCTAGAACTCTCCCTAGCAGCTGCCTAGCCCGCTCCTTGCCTCTTCACACACCCCAACTCTCTTGCCACTCACAGCCTTCAACTTGTTCCGTGTTTTCAGAAGGCTCTCTTCAGGAGAGAGAAGTCACAATATTCCTCTTTCTGCTCCATGTCTTGATGGCTTCTTCTCCACTCCTACCTCCTCTACACTGTCCCTCTTTGATTTCAGTGTTTGGCAAGGCTTCCCTACTGTCACTCTGACTGATTGCTCTCCAACTCCCCAGTAACCAGAGCAAAAAGCTTCTCAGTGAGTTGTTGCTGAATGAACAAACATGTGAACAAACTTCAAATTCAAGTGTTTGTCTCTCCAACCCACTCTCAAATTCAAGGCTGAACAAGCCTGGAACAGGAGAGTTTAGAAAGGACATGGCAAATGGTCTTTCTCTGAGCTGGTCACTGTTTCTGACACATTGACTGATCTCCTACCACACACCCAGCACTATTCTAAGTACCATAACTGAGTCCTGCTCTTATAAAGCTCTGAATCCAGTGTGGGAGACAGAAAATAAGCAAATGAACATATGAGTCTGGTAATGAAGATGACTATAAAAAGGAGGGGGGATTAGAGGTTAGAAAGGGATAAAGGGAGAAAGAACTATCTTTAGACAGGAGTCCAGAAAGGCCTCCATGAGGAGGTGACTTGAAAGAAGGGAGCAAACTATGTGGGGGAGAGAATGAAGGGATCTTCTCCGGGAGACTAGGCTGGAAGTGGATTAGAGATGGAAGGGAGAGCTGAAAAGGTGGGAGAAGGAAGAGGATGTGATTCTTACTGCACCAGAAGCCCAGGTGTTAACAAGCCTTAGGGACCCCACCTCTGTGTGCAGACACTTCCCCAAGGCATCGCCCTTATTCCTCTTTCAAAGCCCCAACAACTCCCGGGGATTCATCAGGAAGTCATGGCACAGAGACTCACTCCATAGTCCCCTGGTTCATATTTTCCAAAAGACTGACGTTTGTCACATAGGAATTCCATTCCAAGGACCCCCTGCCCAAACTGGACCCATGTCTGTGAAACAATAACCCGGGCACCTGGATAATAAGGCCCCTCCAAGGAAAGCCCAGGAGGAGAGGCTGCCCACTGAGGGAGATGAGGAGGACTCAGTTCCACCCCCTACTTTAGTAACATATTGGAAGACAGACCCTTAAGGAGCCACAACTGGAGCACCAGATGTTCCACTATGTGGTTACACAGCAGCAAATGTTTCCAGCCACCATGCACACTAAGAATGGTTACTATGTTACAAATGAGAAAACTGAGGCTCAGAGGCCAAGTCATTGCCTAGCCCAAGCAGCTATGAAGGAGCAGAGTATGGACTGTGAACCCAGATCAGTCTCATGCAGATATTTCCTTATCAACATGAAGCCTTGTAAAAACTAGCTATCTTCCCTGAGAAGAACCCAGTGTTGATGAAAACTGCAGGAGGGAAACCCCACATGACCTGACAAAAAAATTACATCAAAATCCTCACCCTCTCCCTTCCTGGTTATGTGATCCTGGGAAAGTCACACCTCTCTCTAAATCTCAATCAACTCTTGTGCAAAACTGAGAAAATAATACTATTTCCAAGTCCCCCAAGGCCAGGGACCTTATCTTGTTTGTGGCCCTCAAGGCCATGCTGAGCACCTGGCTATAGGCAGGCTCTAGGGGGCTGTTGATTGAATGGTGACACAGGATTAAAGAGGATCATAGTTGTGGAAGTGTATAGCCCTGTTCCAACAGGAGGGGTGTTTTAGTATTACTTAATGAAAACAAGTCAAATTATGCAAAAGTTGATGGTTTGGAAAAATTGGTATTTCTTCTTCCCTTTCCTCCTGACTGCATTGAGAGGTTCAAGAGGCAAGAACTAGGAGATGATCAAAGTCACAGGAAAGACAGAAGGATTTTTCTGGCAGATTAAGGTACGGTGCATACCAGCCAGAAAAATCTACCAGAACTTCCCCTTCTTTTCCTTGCAGGAAGAGTGGGAGACCTCAGCCAAAAGAGAGAGGAGAAAAGCATTAGAGAGTATGTGAAGTTCAATATGGCTTCCATGCTGTCTTCTTTAATTAACTTGCTATGTCAGTGAGTCAGGACCCATTATCTCACGTTTCTGAGCAAGTTACCTCTCCTATCAGGGGTGTCAAAAATAGGACCCATCTCAAAGATGCCACGAAGCCTGAGGAAACAGTAGGTGTAAAGCAATGGAGTAAAGCAAAGGAAGTTCATGGTGAAATAAATGTAGGCGTTTCCTTTATTCAGAGCATAAGCCACAATTGACCTAGAGGAGTTTAATTCTGTGCCCTCCCTGGTGACAAAAAAAAGGACTTGGGAGTAAGGTCTGGGAAGAGACTGAGATAGGGGCTGGACACTGACAACATGTGATTAATCTTTCATTCAACCTAAGGCTATGGGAAAGGAGCCCATGGTGAGTCCTGGGCTGCTGATTAGTGCGCAAGACTACAAAAAACTTGACATCCCAGTAAGATCTTCCAAAGCCAAAGGGGGAAAAATGTTTTTTTTAATGTACTGGTGATTGAATCCAGGGCCTCATGCATACTGGGCAATTATTCTGCCACTGAGCTACATCCCCATCTCTAGCCTCACTTTTTTTCATTTATTTGAGGCAGAGTCTTATTAAGTTGCCCAAGTTGCCCATGATCCTCCTATAGGGAACTATAGGTGTGTGCCACCACATCTAGGCCAATAGGAATTCTTAAAACTACAGGTGCCTATAGTGGAGATAGCAGGGCAGATGTGGTTTCTGCACAAGAGGAGGGATGGGCAGGAAGTGAGAAGGGAGGTGATGGCAGGCTTTGGATCAAGCCTCAGAGGGCACTTATTGCTAATTCCTGAGGCCCAGCTATGGCTGAACAGAGTGGAAATGTTTACAGCAAGGACTGGGGCACAAGTTGGGCAAGAGAAGCATGAAATGCAGTGAAGTACCATGCCCCACAGTTGGACAAGCCTAGTGAGATGTCAGAACAAGCCAGAAACAGTAGGGAATAAATGACTCAGGAATCCTTTTACATGTTGCCTCCCCCTTGTGCAGGCCCTTTATCTCCATGCAGTTATTTAATCCTCCAAGGGATAGGGAGTATTCAACTTTATTTTCCTCCATTTTACTTGTGGGGAAACAGAGACCAAAAGATATGAAATGACTTACACAAGCATTTCCTGCTTGAGGACATGGTAAGCAAGGGCTTCTGAATCTTGGTCAAGACAATAGGAAGAATAAAGAAACTTTGAGCAAACTTCAGCTATGTGGTTTATACTACATAACTTTCAACACGAATTCAGCACTACACTTCTCCCTGGGTGCCTGACTGCAGTGGCCATATGAGAACAGGGACACATACAGAGGGACTGGAGAAGAGGGAAAGGGGCTCAAGAACTCAGCTTTTTGCAATAAAACCCTAGGAGGGCCCATTTGGGACATGCCAACCCACTCAGGACAGGGTACGGGTGTCACACCTTAAACCCAAGTCACTTCACCTCTTTACTAAACCCCTAAGCTAATCCCCACCTTCCAGTTGTTTGAAACCTCAAAAAAGGTATCAGATGAGAAAGGAACTCAGAAAACTGGAAAGAGGCCAAGCAAGTATGAGCCTTGGGGCCACAGCCCCTCCAGCCATCTTACTCTTGGTAGCATTAAACAAGCACAAACCATTCCCAGTGCTGAGCTTACCAGCTCTGAGCTGTCTGAGGGCTGAAGTAAGCCCTTCTGGGGACAGCCTGGGGCTCCTTCCCCAGGCTGCAACCCGGAAGGCTCAACGGAGTCCATGTGGTTCCACAATGGAGTCTGGACACCTATGGGAGAAAGGGGACAGCCAGGCTCAGCCACTTACTTAAGCTGGCCTCAACTTCATTCCTTCTGAAGGGGACCAGAATCTAGAACCTCTGACCATCACAGACCCTTTAGTAATTGACCAGAGGCACTTATTTTCCAGAAGTGTGTATAACGAGCCCTGGGGAGGCTGATTTCAAGGTCAAATGTCATTCGTTCATCTGTCAATCATCCATTCACATCCACTAGTTCCTGATGCCTTAACATGCTGGGTATTCGGCTGTAGATGAATCATATACAGGTCCTTCTTAGGGACCTCACAGCTTTACCAACCATCATGGCAGGTCTAGCATAGGCAGTGATAGAGGTGGACACATGTGGATAAATATGCTTCTGTGGCTGGGAGGCCAGGGAGGATGAAAGGTGTAAAAAGGGAACAAAGATCAGTCACAGAAGAAGGCAAGCTGGCCTACAAGCAGCCTTTATCATGTCAGGGTAAGGTATGTAAATTTCATCCTGAGGATGACAGGGAGATACGAAAAGAGTGTGGAAAGACTCTGTGCTTTGGAAATCAAATTTGCTTCAGGAAGGGATTCCACTAATGGCATGACTTTGGACGAGTCATTTATGACTTTGAATTTCAGCTTTATCATCTGTAAAGCAGGAGGAAATAATACCCTCACCAGGCTGTCGGGAACACTAAACAGAATAAAGCCTGGGGAGATGCTTTATGAAATGCAATGCTCAGCTCATGGGTTTTGCAAAGTGCAGTGATGCAGAGTGAAAAAAGCTCTGTACCAAGAGCCCAGCCCTGGCTCTCACAAGGCAGTGGTACCAAGTCTCCCAGAGTCAAGGCCTCATTTTCTTCATGTGTAAAATGGGATGTGTGGGGCAAATGAGATGAGAGCAAAAGAACCTTGCTCAGAGTGCATGTTCAGGTTGATTCAGGCACTTTTCAGCAGAGGAGAAGGAAAACACAGAGGGAGGCCAAAGATGGGCACAAAGGCATCTGTCTTCTGAGCACTCCACTTATTCTTTCCAACTTCTGGAAATGCAGCCCCTCCCCTACTTCCACCCCCATCACTCCCACAGATTTGCCCTCCACATGGTCACTTATGACGTATCTGTCCAATCCCAAGCCCACTCCTCAGTCTTTGTGCTGCTGCATTCTTCCCTTCCTTGACTTTTTTAGTCTCTTGTAATCTTTGTTAACTTCTCTCCTTTGCCTTTAAGCAATGAGGTTCCCAAACTTCTGGCCATCCCCTTCTGCACACACCCTCATTTTACTCATCCCAACATTTGATTAAAACCTTTCAGGGCTCCCAAATCAATTCCTTACCTGAACTGAATCCTAAATTCCAATGGTCTATTAAATGCTGAGATTCCTCATTCTCAGCAGTTAAAGCCCCATTTATTTCCTTCACTTTTCCCATGCAAAACCATTCTCCACCTTGGCTGAAAGTTTCAGGTTTGTTCAACTGCACAGTTATTCAGTTGTTTACACGTACATCCCTCACCTTCTGTGGACAGTTGATCTGGGGCTCCAGGGAAGAGCTCCCCATGCTCACAGCCACTATCATTATTTCAATGGGTTCAAAGTGGTATCTCTGCATCTAGCTGGCTCCTATCCTCACCCTGCCCAATCCCAGTACATCACCATGACTGTGCTAAAATAGACGTTATGTTATTCTGAAACTGTCTTCCCTTAAAAAAAGGAAGCAAATCTTCACACTGTGATGTTTCTCACTGCAAAAAGAAAAAGTCTAGGACTCTGTATAGTAGCACTGCAAGCCCCTTACAACGTACTTGATCGTAAGCTTCTTCTAGGTACTTTCCTCTAAACTTCAACCACATTGATCACAAACTCTGTCTCCTGCTTTCTAGCCTTTGCCCAAATTGTTCCCAAGTCTGAAAGGCTATCCTCACTAAGCTTGTAAAGTCTGACACACTTCTGCATCTTTGATGCCAGTATGTTGGGCATAAGTATGTGTTAATACAGTCTATAAAACTGGAAGTAGGGGAAGAAGTTATTTGGTGAAGCAAGAATTAATTTCTGATAAATGTCCCCCCAAATCACATAACTCAAATGCTTACAGATCTGTCAAACGGGAATGTGGCATGTTCATTCTATAAATATCAGAGTCTGTTTCAAAGATAAAATGAGGTAACTGAGGTAAATACCTTTGGAAAGAGCTAAGAGGTACATACACAGCAGCCCTCTCTACTCAAGGATCAGCTAGCTCAATTATTCACTCACTCAATCACTCATTCACTTGTCCTGTCAGCCATTCAATATTTATTCAGCACATGCCAGACTGTGAAACTTCCTCTAAGTAACCCCAGCATTTAAACTCTAGGTCAGGGTATTCAAGTCTGTTTCTCCTAGCTAAGAGCTACTGTGGGGAGAGATATGCTTCCTTCATTGTTCTGTCTCCAGAACTCAGACCAGAGTCTGCACATATTTGAACTAAGGGCTTCTTGGTGTCCATTAGCTGAATCAGCTACATAGAATGAGCCTTCCTTCTGAAAAGTATCCCAGGGATCCCTGCTGAGGTTTGGATCCGTGGCTTGGTCTTTCAGCTTCCATATCCTCTGGTGTGGGCAAAACACAAAGGGTGAGGACAAGAGGGCTGGGGATGAAGAAGGCAAGAACTAGAAGCACTTACCTGGGAGAACAGAGGAAGCACTTACTGGGAGATGCAGCATTAATCACTCTCCTCAGGTCTGAGCTCTTCTCTCTCAATATGAGGCACCACAGTGACACTGGCCTGTACCCAAAAAAGAAACTCAGGGGTGACCTGAGTTATAATATCCCCAAGCCCCACCCTCTTCTTCAGCCACTCCTTACCAGACACCCACTAATTCTTGAAGACGTACTTCCTATTAAGCCTTCTCTAAGAGGAGCCTGGGGTAGGGAGAGCCATGGTGTAAACTTAAACAAGATAACCACAAGTCAGTCTTCAACTGGGTCAAGGATCCCAGAACAACCTCTTTGCAATACTGAGGGCTCTGTTCATTTTAAAAACACCCAAAGTCCAAATTTTGAGATAGGGGCTCATCCCTGGACAGAAGCAGGAAGAGCCTAGATTGGGAAATAGGCAGTGTAATACACAATTTTGCAAAATATGAGTACTAATGAGCTGGGGATTTAGCTCAGCGGTTCGGTGGCCTGCCTTGCAAGCGCAAGGACCTGAGTTCAATCCCCGGTACCAAAAAAAAAAAAAAAAA